TCCTTGGAGAGGGACATCATGCTTGGGAGGATGGAGAGACAGCGCAGGAGGGGAAGACCCTCTATGAGGTGGATTGATTCAGTGACTGAGGTGATCGATATGGGTATGTTGGAGACAGTGCGATTGGAACAGGATAGGACAGGGTTTAGGGCTGTTGTACACAGGGTTGCTATGAGTTCCAAGTGACTCGAAGGCACATAACAAGAACAACAACCACTGCCACCTTGTTATGCTCAGGCAAGGTGTTATTTAGCTTCTTTGTGAGTGTTATTTTTTTCCTTTTGGTCTCTTGTTAATTTCTATCTTTATGGTATTGTTGTTAAAGATACATTCTATTATATCAATATTTTTGAGGCTTGTTGGGGTCCTCATATGTAGTCAATTCTGGAGAATGTACCATGTGAACTTGAGAAGAAAATAAATTGAGGTTTTCTCAGGTGAAGTACCCCAAATACATCTATAATGTTGAATTGGCTAATTGTGCTGTTTAGTTCTTCAGCATCTTTTTTGAGTCCCTTTTGATTTGACCTGACCTTTTGTGATAGTGGTGTGTTGAAGTCTCCTCCTATTACTGGGATTTTTTTTTCTTTCTTTAAGTCTGTTAAACCGTTGTTTTATGTGTTTTACAGGTGTACCATTAGGTGTGTAGATATTAACTGAGGGTATGTTCTCTTAATCTACTATGTCTTTAATCATTATATTGTGTCCTTATTTTCAATCACCATTTCATCTTGAAGTCCATTTTATCAGAGGTTAGTATTACCACTTATGTTTTCTTAATGGATGCTATTTGCTTAGTACATTTTTCCACCCTTTGATTTTTAGCCTCTTTCTCCTTGTTTCTTAAATATGTCTTTTGTAGAAGACATATTGATGGGATTTGGTAGTTTTTAATCCATTCTGTTACTCTTTTCTTTTAATTGGTGTGTTTAAGCCATTCACATTGAGTGTGATTATTGGTAAGCCAGGTGTTGTTATTGTAATTTTGCTGCATTCCTCTTTCTATTGTTGCTGGTTACTTTGGTCTGTCCACTTTTCTTCTGCTTACAATGATGCCGAATTTCCCTCAGTGTTTCTTGTAGAATTGGTCTTGTTTTCGTGAATGCCTTAAGTTTCTGCTTTTATGCAAATGACCTAATTCCTCATTCATATTAAATGGACAGCTTTGCTGGTTACAGGATCTTCGACTGGCAATTGTTTTCTTTCAGCCTTCTGTAAATACTATCTCACTGTCTTCTTTCTTACATCAGAGATTAACCTAATTGGTTCTCCTTTGTAGGTGACTTTTTCTTGTGCTGTTGTTAGTCTTCGCTCGTTTTTGATTTTGGAGAATTTGATTATGGTATATCTTGATGTTTTTCTTTTGCGGTTTAATCTGAAATTCACTGAGCTTTTTCAAGATATATTTTCTAGTTTTTTAATGATAACTGGAAATTTTCTACAGTACCTCTTACACAATTTTATCAGTGGTTCCCTCCCCCCCCTTTCTGTTCTGGAATTTCAACCTATGGGTATGTTGTTTTGTTGATGTGATCCTACATGATTCTAGTTTTTTCCTTTTTGTCCTCTCTTTGTTTTTTCTTCTTATAAGTTTTCAATGAGAGTCTCGTCTTCTAACTTACTGATTCTCCATTCTATCTAGTCTGCTTTTTTGTGCCTCCAACCTGTTGAAAATGTCTGTATTGGTTTTGATATTCTGTATTGACTTTCTATGCTTTTGTTTTTTCTTGTACTGTGTTGGTTGTATCCTATCTGTCTTGTGATTTATTTTTTTCTTAATTCTTGTATCTCCTTATTCAATACACTTGTTATGAGAAGTCAGGAAATAAAGAGATATATGGCTTTTAGCAAGTCTGCTTTTAGGGACATCTCCAAAATAATGAAGAGTGATGATGTCAGTTTGAAGACTAAGATCCACTTAATTCAGACCATGTTTTTTCAATCACTTGCTATGCTCTGAGAGCTTGACAATGAGTAGGGTCAACAAAAGAAGAATTTATGCCTTTGAGCTGTGGCACTGGAGAAGAATACTGAATATCTCCATGGAATGCCAAAAGAAAGAACATCCAGCCTTGGAAAAGGTGCAGTCAGAGTGTTCCTTAGAGGTAAGAATGACAAAGCTTTATCTCTCTTACTTTGCACAAGTTTCTAAGAAACATATTCCTTGAAAATGGATATTATGCTTGGAAAGGTGGAGGATCAGCAAAAGAGAGGAAGACCCCAATGAGATGGACTAAAGCAGTGACTGCAGTAATGGCCACAGCATATCAAAGATGGTAAGGGTGCCACAGAATAGGGCAACATTCAGATCTGTTGCTCACAGGTCACTAAGAGTCACATTTGACTGGATGGCATCTAAAAAAAACAATAACCACCACTTTATATATGGTTTCAAGTCTTTATTACACCCTCTGTGGCTTCTTCAGTTCTAGTTCCTACAACTCCACCTCAGCAACCTTCTTCTGCCATCCTCTCTCTGAAGTATGCATTGGGTCTCACATCTGGTCTACTTTTTTAGAAGGATAATGTCATAATGTTTGACCTTGCTTGGTGCTTTCTTGACATTACCTGAAATTCTTGTTGGTATGTGTCAGGTAGTTTCTGCTGTGTCTGTGTAGGTAGTTGTCATTTCCTTAGTCTATGAGGCTATTTGTAGAGCTGTAAATTCTAAGTGTTGTCCCTGATTCAATTTTCCAGCGGCAATCTTTCCTGATGGTTGTCTGTGGATGGTTGTGTTCCCCATTTCCTTTGGCACACTTCTCATCCGTCCATGGACAGATAGGAACCTAGAGTCTTTCTTTGCATAGCTATGTGGGTTCTGTTTCTCTGTCTTGTGTTGTAGTTTGATGGGAGGTGACAGTTTCCCCTAAAAGTAAGCACAGCTAGCTGCTTCTGTCTGTGTTGTGTCCTGAGTCTCACAGGAGAGGCTGTTTCCCTGCTGAGCTGAAAAAGCCCCTGGAGAGCTGGGAAAGTCCCAGGAATGGCGTCCATGATACTTTCCTCTTGAAGTCTTAGTCAATTGGTGCTTGTTGTGTACCTCTGTCCTCTCCTGTGGCTGGATATGAGGGACCACTTCAGCTTTAGCAGACAGAGCCACTGGCAAGCTGACGAAATCCCAGGCATGCTGCCCAGGACACTTTTCCTCCCTAAGTCTTAGTGCTAAGATGTACCTATATTCTCTCCTGTGGCTGACCCCTTGCCTTGACAGACAAATCCCCTGGGGGACTGCAACATCCTAGGAATGCTGCCCAGGTCCCTTTTATCCCTAAGGTTAAATGATCAGTCAGTGCGCCAGGTGTATGGTAGCCCATGATACACTATCTTCCTGCTGGCTTGTCAGGATGGCTCAAGGGGCATTCCACTCTGCTATCTCGGCAGCTCAGACACCTGGGTGATGGCTCTCAGGACTCCTCCATTTCTGCTAACTAGTTTCTAGACTAGGTTGGTGGTGGTGGTGGGGAGACCTCACGGGGGTCACTGGAAGTTTGACTCATCTTTGCCAATGAGGTACTTTCATTGCTGCTGGTTTTTCAGGGCAACCTACGAAGTACACTCCCCTTTCTGCTGGCTTGGACATCTAGGACTCCTAGATGTCAGCCTTGTGACAAGTATATAACAAAGTACTTGCCCATCCAACATTATTACCTCCATAACTCAGTGACATTATGTTCATGCAACCCTAATCATACTCTGTTTTCAAACTGATCCATCACCTTCATCAAGAACTCAGTGCCCTCCCCAGTGACCCCTTCTTCCTATTGCCTCACTCCTCAACAATAAACTTCAGTCTTTACATTTTTGCTTGTTCCAGATATTTCATACAAATGAATTATGGAAGTGTTTCCCTTTTGTTACTAATTTATTGGCTGATAGTTTACATGAAATTGTTGTTCTGATTTTATGAGACTGTCTAGCCTGCTAAGGAAGAGGAAATGATTGAATGGAGATATTTTCATAACTCTCTATGTTGCATATTCTCTAATATGAAAGATTATCATCACATTTATAGTACTTAGTTCAGTTCCCAGATTGCAGAGAAGTTTCATTCTCGAATCTCTCTTTATATTTAATTTATATGCAAATTTGAAACAGGTGCAATTTATATCTAGTGTCTTCTAGTTAAATGTTTATCTTATATATAGTATATAGCATATCTTTCTATGCTTAAAAAACATTGAAGAAACATTTTCAGATGCACTAAAGCATTGTAATACAATAAAAACAAAAATAAATAATCTTTAGATGTGTTTTATAAAATATCACATGATTGTTATCACAAACCATTTATGTACCTTGAATTTTTAACATAATAGGCTTTAGTTTGCAGTTGGTAGGAATTCCACTGGGAGTTGTTCAGAGTGGATACTAAGTAAATTTTTTGAATTGAACTGAAAAATTACTAAGAATTTGCTATTATAAACAATCTTCAGCACAAAAACATAAGCTTGCATATCCTTTTTTCCTTCTATGTGTATTTTAAACAAATTCTATATATCTTTGTGTATTCCTAGTAATTTTTGCTAGTTTTTCAAATTATATATACAGATTTTCAAGTGAGAACCTGAGGAATTTTTAAAAGCATAAATTTAGAGCAATGGGAGCTTTATAAGTTGTCTATGCCACTCATACATTTGCTGGGGCATCTATCAGGGGATACTCTCTAAGGTATCATCTCTGGACTTGGCCTGGTTATGAGAAGGGTATTTTTTCAACTGAGTCTCTCTGTAAGCAGTTTAGTGGTCACTTTGTGAAATATAATCTTGAACACTAACAACACTCCTTCTCTTGCTCAATGACATCACTTCTGCTGTTAGTATATAGATATGACTCATAAGTGGAAGAAGGATGGGTAATATCTTCCCATGCAATTTACTGCTTCTGACAACTGGTTGGAGAGTCAGCTTTGAGTTAGTACTGACTTGATAGCACACAACAACAATTACAAAAACAACATGTGACTATACTTTTGGTCCTGGTAGCTTAGTGGGTAAGGAGCTGCACTGCCAACAGAAAGGCACATGGTTTGGAATCCACCAGCTTCCCCATGAGATAAAGTTGGGCAGGGAAATCCTCTTCAGTGTGATTCACAGCCTCTAAAAATTTTTTTGACTGGCACATAACAACAATAATGTGACTACCAGGCAATTAGCTCATTAAAACTATGGGATTAGTTAGCAATTATTCTTGTTACAACCAGTTCATGTTACAACCGAGCCTCAGTGTCACATAACAGGCTAGCACTAGGGATCTAAGCTCTGATTGACTGATGCAATTGAGATCATTTCAGTTGCTTTCACACACCAGAAGATTACAATGCTCATATCTATCACAATTTCTCCTCAGTTAGATTGACATTAAGCTGTCTGTGGAATTCTAGATACTTAATAAAATAGTAATTGCCTCATCAACCAAATACCATCCTGAAGAATTCAGAAACCTAATTAGCATTATTAGAACATAAACAAGGTCACCTTCTCACTAGCAGAGATCGTAACTTGAGTCTGGGCCTCTTGATTTTCAGATATCCAGTTCCTTCGAGCCATTTCTTCCCACTCTGCTTGCATCTTATCCCAGAACTCTGTATCTGACTAGGAGACAGAAATAACAAGGAAAGATGGATTTAAGAACATGCTACATTATCTGGTCTTTTTCTTCAAAAGGTCGTTTTGCTCATTTTCACCAAAAAGAATTCTGGGGAGGAAGAAAATGTTTAAACTGCTGTTGGAGAAAAGTTGTTAGTAAAATTAAAAAACCATGGCACAAAAACTCAAAACCCTAAAGAGAAGGAAGATTTTATTACTGCCTAAGAATAATTACAAGCATGTGATGCATTACTGGTAAATTGATAATGAGATTGCAGAGAAAGAAAACTTAACGATTATACAGGTAAGGGGATATAATAATTACAGTCATATTTTAGTAATTGCTATTGTTTCTAGTCCTTCTGGTCAGGAGGTGGGGCTCAGCCATTGACTTCAGGCTAATATCTTTTGAGGGAAAACCAGGACAGCATAGGAAAATAACCTGAAGCTAGTCTCACACTTTTTAGGCAGAAAAAGAATTTCTAATTATTGTACTGTAAAAGTTATTAAAAATTAAATCCAAAGGAAGAAACAGAGGAGGGAAGTTCCTGATCCCATTGTCCCTTTGAACTTGCTTTCACATTGGCTGTATTCAATGCTCCTCAAGGCTGAAGGCTTGTAGAGGTGCTAAGTGATCACAGAGTTAAAGCGGATTTAACTATGACTTTTTGCACCGAGAAAGTAGTTACTGTCTCAAGGACCAAGATTATATGTCTCTCTCTCTCTCTCTAATACATGGTAAAGCCCACTATTTAAATAATTTCAAATGTAGGTCTCAGGCACACATTTTAGGAACTCTTTCCTGGTCCTGGAGTTCCTCTTTGGAATGAGTGTGACTGCTTTGGGACAGAATGGGTAGTGACTTGGAGGGTGAAGTTAGTTCATCCTACTCTGTGGCAGGAGAAAACTGAGGCTAGAGGGTTAGGTCACAAAGCTAGGATTGTACAAGACCTGAATCACAGTCTGGCTCCAAAGTTTCCTCTTGTCCTTTAAGGCAAACCTGGTGTCTGGATGCCAAGAGAATGAAGGGTCTGAGCTTTGGGGATTAGATTCAATATCTGTAAGGTCTTTTCTGTGGTAGAATGATTTTTTTTTTACATTAAAAAATTGTTTCCTTTTTACAATTTCTCCTTCACTTTTCTAAGAGGAAACAAAGACGTTTGTTCTCTTTTACTTCAGGAGTGTTGGTGTGTGTTCCTGCTCTGAGGCAGACATGTCCTGCACAGTACAGTCCAACTGGTTTTTATTTTAGGAAGGATGAAGACAGTATTTTAGATGTGTTTGGAAGAGACGGAGAAGAAAGGATGAGAATCTTAAAAAAATCTGATAGTGGACTGGGAACTTTTCTGAGATGAAGAAAATGATGAAGGTTGGCAGTTTCTAAAACAACAGGGGATTATGTCCAGTTTTAGGGTCCTTGAAAGTTGGTTTGATTTCAGAGACTGTGAATAAAAAACATGAACTGTGTATGACCTGGAAATAAGAAACATTTTAAGGAACCACTTTGGACTTGGATGGCTGTAGGAAACTAAATTACCTGTCAGCTTAGAAACCACTTCTGTTTTCTTTGAAAATAAAATAAATTAGTGTTTCTTGAACATCTGGTTATGGAACTGAGATATAGACTCTTCACTTGCATCTCAGTTTCTGTGACTCTAAGTCCTGTGACCTATCCCCACACCATCATATTTCAATCTTTGTGGTCTCACACTCGACCTATCATTTCTGTCTGGCAGCTGTCTGTGTCAAGAATTCTTCTTCAAGCTTATTCTCAATGATACTCGCTCAGTCACTCATTCATAGTCATTCATGGCTATCAAGTCCAAACCCATGCATAGGTGATTGGTTTTCAAGGTTGTAGAGCACATGAGAGGAGATTGCCATCTTTCACTTATAATCATGGTGGTGGCTTTGAACCTCCATAGAGATGTGGCGTTTGGGTTTGCTGCGCAATTCCCTATGGACTATAGCAACAGAGCTCTTCTTTTAATGACAGTCATATTTTTATTCTTCCACATACAAATGTTTAGGAGTAGGACTGGCCTGACTTGACTTAACCCAGGTGACCAAAATAAAGAGTAGGTCTTACTGTCCTTTTCTTAATGCTTCAAACAACAGTTCCTACAACAGAAATGAGTCTTGTCGCTTTGGCAGTAGCTGTCACAACAACTTGTGTCTGAGATGTGGAAAGCTCATGAAATGGTCACCAGATCTCAGTGGTAAGGTTGTTGTTGCTGTTATGTACCATCGAGTCACCTGCGACTCATAGCGACCCTATGTACAACAGCTCTAAACTCTGTTCTGTCCTGTGCCAGTCTCACTGTCTCCTACACACCTACCCCCATTTCCCCAATCACTGAATCAATTCATCTCATCTAGGGTCTTCCTCTCCTGTGTTGTCCCTTTACGCCTCCAAGCATGATGTCCCTCTTCAAGGACTGGTCCCTCCTTGCAACATGTCCAAAGTATGTCAAATGAAGCTTCAGAAACCTTGCCTCCAAGGAGCAGTGTGATTTCACTCTCTCAAGGATGAATCTGTTTGCCCTCTTAGCAGTCCACGGTATATTTAATACTCTTCTCTAGCACCACAGCTCAAAGGCATCAATTTTCCTTCTATCATTGTCCAGCTCTCTGATGCATAGCCTGTATCTGGCGTGCCTTAGTCTCCTGACTGACATTGTTGCTTTTTAGTACTTTGGAGAGGTCTCTGACAGCAGACTTTGCTAATGCAATACGTATTTTAATTTGCTGGCTGCCGGTGCCAAGAGTGTTGATTGTGGAGCCAAGCAAACGAAAGCTGTTTACAATTTCACCCTCTTCACCATCTATAATGATGCTGCCAATTGGCCCTGTGGTGAGAATCTTTGTTTTCTTGGTATTGAGCTTCAATACATATTGAAGGCTGTAGTCCTTGACCTTCTGCAGCAAGCAGGGATAACATAAGAAACAAGCAAACAAAAAATTCTGTAAAGTTTTCCTATCAGAATGCCAAGCTAGGCAAACAGAATGATTTTGGATGTATATTAAAAAGCAAAGATGAGACAAAAGACTGAAATGAAATATACTACCACGTTAATAGCAACTGATTTCCAGGAAGTCAGAACAGACTCATAGCTCAGTCTCCAGTTGATATTTAGAAGATGTAAAGAACATGGGAGGAGACTGCTCATCTTTCTCTGTGAAAAAGCTGGTGGGTTTGAACACTTTCTTTTGTGTTGGCAGCACAACTCCTTACCCACCAGGCTACCAGAGCTCCCTATGTTAATAGAAATGTATCTTTAAATGAACTCATGATGACAGATTATTTTTCCCCCTGTATCTTGATATTTTTCTATACTTTCTAAAATTTTTATGATGCATGAAATGTTTTATAAGAATAATAGAAAGGTTAAAAACAGTGGGAAAAAAAAAAGAAAACGAAATTACATTTCTTTTTTTGAATAGCATTCAACCTGAGTATTTTTAGATACTGAAGAGTTTGGAGACTTTTTGGAAGAACTAATTTTTTTTTAACAAATAGCTTTTAAGAGACACATATTCAACTTGTCTGTACTAGAAAGGAATGAAAAATCTATCAAGCGACTGTTAGAATGTTTACTGACTTCTCCAAGCCCCTGCTGGGTTGAGCGAAGTGACAAGGACTGCCTATCCACTGAGGCCATAATGTTCTCCTAGTGAGGTTCCCCGGGACTTAAAGAACATTACCACCCTTCTGAATGAAAGAATGAGAGGGATTTGACAATGTGTATATCTGGGCTACAAATGGATTTGCTGTCTTTCCTGCAGCTGATACATCATTAAGATTGCCACAGAAAACAGACAGAACCTCAGGTTGGGTGGGGCTGCCCAGTTCTCATTTAATGAGCTCCTAGGAATTACTTTTACCACTTAAAATAAGTTGTTGCTGACTAATTAAATTGCACAGCTCCGTTTTCATTTAATTACAGAAGACTGCTTCTAGAACCATTTTCATCCAGTTGGAATACAGCTTTATTCACATAACTGCAATTATAAGATGGAGTTTTTTTCCTTTTATTTTTAACCGATTTCAGAAAAACCTGACACATATTTGACTTTAAAAAATTTATTTTATTATATTTTGTGTGTGTACCATCAAATCAGATCTGACTGGTACAGGAGGAGTTGCCCCTCCTTCTCCGGCAGAACATCTGCACATATTTTACTTTTAAACATTTCAGATGTGACCAAACACATTTTTAAAAATTGATGATTTTATTTGCTATTTTTGGATTTTAGTTGAGATTTTTATTTTATCCCTCCACAGGTAACTCTCAAAAATCAAAGGTTAAGGTATCAAAATATCCTGCAGTGGGAAACATCTCCCATCAAGGGACTTATTTATAGACTATTGAAGTGCAAGAAAGTCAGTTAAAAGACTAAAGTAGGTCTAGCCTAAGCCATGGCATTTAAGATGGACAACTGAATAATGAAGTCTGAAGAAGGATCAATCATCAATCAATGCCTTTGAACTGTAGAACTGGGGAAGAGTATTGAATATACCATGGACTGATAAAACAAATCCAATTTGGAGTCAGTGCAGCCTGGTTGTTCCTTATAGATAAAGTTGAGAAACTTTGCCTCATATAATTTGGACATGTCGTCAGGAAGCCCTTTGAAGAAGGTATGATAAGAAAAGCAGAGAGTTTGTGAAAAAGGAAGACCTTCAAGGAGATGCACTGACTCAGTAACTGCAACAATGGGCTTGAGCCCGATGGAGATCATGGGAATGGTACAGGAGAACCATGGCTCTGACTATCGTTCACAGGGTCCCTGTGATTCATGCGCAGTCCCCTGGACAACGCCTAGCAACCACCACCACCACCACCACCACAGGTAACATATCATTTATGCCAGAAACAAGTTGTGATTCCCTACTATCTACTTATTTTTTACAATGAATAATTGGGGCTCAATTTTAGACAATGAGTAAGAATGACAGAAGAAGAACTGATGCCTTTGAATTGGCGAATCTTCGTCTCACATAC